GAAACCATCATGATGAATATTAATGCTCTAACCAATTCACATGTAACGCTTATAAAGAAAATTGAATTGCAATGAGGTTTGTTTGTTTTTAACAATAATCTCATGACCATCACCACCATCATTAGCAGTATCATCATCATCTCCTTTCTCTAGTTTCTTTATTCTTTATCCAGTTGAGCTGGTCCATCATTTCAAAAATGCACGTCAATATATTAACTCCTTTGCCCCTGATGTCACATAGCAAAGCACAAATGCTGGGGGAATCCCATCACCCACGTTCTCTGGTGCCTGCACATCAACAGCCAGCCATGAATTGACAGGGTCACATAACAGGCCAGAAAGTTTCCACCATAAGTTCAAGATCAGCACTATCTAAAAATACATCTATATTTCCATGGTAATTTCACTCTTCCAATCCCCAGAATGAACATTTTGAATCATTTCCACTCCATTTAAACCTCTAACCCTCTTTAACCACTGCCTTCCCCATCCCCGCCCTGCCTCCAAACCTCCACCACCAAAGAGATTCCCTTTGTCTCTTACTTAAAAACAAACAAACAAAAAACAACCAAAAAAACCTAATCACTCAAGAACTACTTCATCTTCTTGATGCCTGACTTATATATATGGAGGCAACTCTGGATCATCCTACCATCTCCCTCCTGTTACAAAGGAAGAGTTCTCCCTCCTCCATTCTAAAGCTAATTCCTTCAGCTCTGCTTTGGAGTCCATTCACTTCCACCTTGTCACGAACTTGATAGTATTAATTATTCTCTCTTCCATGTTCAACTCCTCCTTCCAAACATATACTCCCCCCCTAGAATTTAAGCCTCTTAGTTTTCCATATTACAAACACAAACTAACAAAAATAAACTACACTTGACCTCAGCTGTGGGCTGAACTGTGTCCCCACACTCCCCATTTGCTGAAGTCCTAACTCCCAGTGCTTCAGGATGTAACCATATTTATTTGAAGACAGGGTCTTTAAAGAGGCACTTAAATTAAAATGAGGTTATTAAAGTGAGCCCTAATCTTATATGACTGGTGTTCTTAAAAGGAGAGGAAATTTGGACACAGACAGGTATAGAGGGAAGATGATATGAAGACATAGGGAGAAGGCATCAGTAAGCCAAGGAGAGAGGCCTGGAACAGATCCTTCCCTCACTGCCCTCAGGTGGAATCAACCCTGCTAACTCCTTGATCTTGGGCTTTTAGCCTCCAGAAAAATGAGGAAATACATTTCTATTGTTAAGTCCCCTAGTCTGTAGTACTTTGTTACAGCACACCTAGCAAATTAATACACCCTCACTTCTAGGCATTGCTCTGTTTCTCATCTTTCCTTCAGAGACAAAATTTTCAGGGAGTTCCCTACCCTCCACGTCTCCTTCACCACACCTCCCTTTCATTCCTGAATTCAGTCCAATGTGCTACTGGCCCTGCTACTCCATACCCTGGGATCACCAACGACCTTGACCTTGTGGATTCTTAGCGAACATGTTAAGTCTTCCTCTTTTTCAATCTTCCAGCAGCATTCAACAGGGTTCCCAACTCCTCCCCTGCCATGCTTTCTTCTCTTGACTTCCATGACACAGGGCTGTTCACACTTTCCTTCTTCATCTCTGGCTAATCCTCCACTGCCTTCTCTTCAGGAGTATATGCTCCTCTATCTTGTCATTAAATGCTGGAGCTTCTCAAAGCTCAGTTACAAAGCCCTCTTCTCATCTACTCTCAGCTCTTTCCTTGGGAAATTCTCACCCACATCAATGCTTTAATTACCATTCATACACAGATGACAAACAAGTGTGTCACCAGCCCAGACTTCTCATTTCTGGACCTGTTTGGGACTACCTTTATATATCTCCTCTTAGATGACTCAAAGTCTCCTGAAACTCACCATGTCTAAAACCAAACTCATGATTTTCCACACCTTTTCCATCTGCACATAAACCCAAACATGCCCAATTTCCCTAATTAGACAACACCATCATCCATGAAGTCTTGCAAGCCAGAAAAATGCTTCATCTCTGATACCGTTTTCTTTCTCATGCTTCCTCCCTTCACTCTCCTTGGGACTTGAGTGGTTGCAATTTTACAACTATTTGTGTAGTTATGTAGCCATGCACCAAAAGGCAGGACACCCTGTCTGTTTTTACTCACCATTACATTCCACCGAGCACAATGTCACACTATTGTAGATACTCATTTCTTTAACGAGTGAGCAAATAATAGATGATACTAATAAAAACTCGTGTGTGCCAAGCTAAACATTCTATTTAAATTATCTTCTTAATCTTTGTAACAGCCCTATTAAGTAGGTATTATTATTATTGTTATTGTTTTCCTCACTTTACTGAGGAGCAAGCTAGGGCATTGAGGAGTACACTTCCTTCCCAAGAACAAACTTGAAAGTGGCAGAAGAGAGTGGACCCAGGTTACTGGGGTACTTGTATACCACTATACTATTCCATCTTTATGGTTTTCAAAGATACTCTCAAGCTATTTAAAGTTTACCTGAGTTTAATACAAGCTATCTTTAATTTATGAATATATTATGCAGAAAAAATTATATATAATTAACATATGCTCAGAAATCTTCAGTTTCTATGTAGTTATCATGAGATAAAGCCTAAATCCTGTTGCCTGGAATTCAAGACCTTCCATGATCCAACTCCTTCCCTCCTTTCAAGACTTTTTCCCCATGACACCCTGATGCTCTAGTCAGGGGTCTGCAAACTACAGTCTGCAGGCCAATTCTAGCCTACCACTTGTTTTTATAAATAAAGTTTTACTGAAACAGCCAAACACATTTGTTTACATAATGACTATGCATTACAATGGCAGTTAAATAGCCACAGGTTCAAGAAAAACTGTATGGTCCAAGAAGCCTAAACATTTACTATGTGGCCCTTTACAGAACAAGTTTTCCAACAGCTGAATTAGAATTCTAGGCTACAATCTAGTTCAATGGGAACAAATATAATAGCTTCCATTGGCTGACTGCTGGGTTCTTTCAACAAACCTTTCTAAAAGAGGTCCTGTTACCCCTGTTTTATGTAATGAAAGAAGGAAGGAAGAGAGAGAAAGAGAAGAAGGGAAAAAATAAAGAAGGAAGTCAAACTGAGGCTCAGGTGGGTGAATAATGTGACCATGATCACACAGCAAATAAGTGGAAGAACTGGGATTCAGAGCATGCTCACTGACTCAAAGGCCAAACACTTTCCCTGGTGCCTACTGCTGCCTTTTTCTTCAGTAGAACTTGGGATTTCATGTTATTGTTTATTCATGCTATTCTTTCTCCTCCACAGAATGCCAGTTCTCCTTTAAAACCTAAAGGAGGTGCCTGGTGAAATCTTACACATTCTTGGGGACAAGCTCAAGCACTACCTCTTTCCGCTCAGTCTTCCGAGATCACCTGCAACCAGGGGAATAATCCCTCCATTGAATGCCCACAGCACTTCAGTCATTCCCTTGTGACACCTAACACTTTCTCTCCCCTCTTAAGTTTAATGGAGCAAAACCCAAGTTTACCTTTATATCCTGTAGAAAAAGCACAATGCCTTCTATATAACAAGTACTTAACAAATACTTATCTAATGAATGAATCTAGATTAAAAACTTTGGGACACTTCTAATCTGGATTTTTAAAGTGAAATATTTAAGATTTACTTCTTAATAATTCAACAGATGAAAATCCAGAATGTAGTCTAAATACAGAAATGTCTTCCTTAGTATTGATTTTTAGCATTTTTAGCCTACGTATAAAAATCAATTTTAAAAGGAACTAAAAATTCCTAAGAATTAAATCTACTTAAAGTTTTCTATCAGTATCATAAATAAGAAAACTTAATATTATAATTACTTATATTACACATTAACATTTTGCTAGGACAGAAAAACTCTTCATAATGCCCAAATTAACAACAACAACAAAAAACTTAAGTTATTAGAAATTTAAAATAAATCTAAGGTCAACAATAAAATGTTACTTATTACAAGAACACAGAGACCACAGGTGATGTTTCCAACAGCTAGTTATTTTTGAAATTCTGATAGAGTGAGCTGAATGCTCAATGTCATCACTGTAGAAATAATATAATTTAAATGCAAATACTAATTGTAAAAATAGTTTGAGAGTCTGGTTTGACATTTCTAAAGTTCTTTATATAATGTAAATAAGGCTTAGTATAAAATCAGGTACAGAGTAGAACTTACACACACACGTAAAAAAATTTAGATTTTAAAAAGAGTTTCATATGTTGGAATCAGACACCTACCTGCATCACCTTCTGCTGAATCTCTTCTAACTGTGTACGCTTACTACGTTGCCTACAAACTTCCTGGTAGCGGGTATATTGCTCTCGCAGTGAATCTAATAATTTCATAACCTGTGGCTGTGCTAGCAGTTCATCATCCATAGGAGACCACGAGACCCCTCCATCTGAGCCATTAAATCGACGCTGCTGTAATTCGGATAACAATTCATGTCCTTTAAGAAGGAAAGATACTTATAATTAATATCCATAAAGAAATATAAATCTTACTTCTCAATCTTCTCAATTCTAATCCCTTATTTTTAGAAGGTATCTGCCTATATATTTACCTACCAGGTCTTAAGTACTGAAATGCAATTTCTCAATTTATATAGAAATAAATAGGAAAATTGCATGCATACATATACATATGGATATATACTATGTCGTATATCGTAGCTCTATCATATACAGACAGTCCCCGATTTAACCATGGTTTGATTTACAATTTTTCGACTTTATGGTGGTGCATTCAGTTGAACCCGTACTTCAGATTTCGAATTTTTTCTTTTTCTGGGCTAGCAATATGCAGTACGATACTCTTGCGATGTTGGGCAGCAGCAGTGAACTGCAACTCCTAGTCAGCCACATGATCATGAGGGTTAAACAACTGATATACTGACAACCATTCTGTGCTCATACAACTGTTCTGTTTTTCACTTTCAGTACATTATTCAATAAATTACATGAGATATTAAACACTGTATTATAAAATAGGCTTTGTTTTATATGATTTTGCCCAACTGTAGTCTACTGTAAGCGTTCTGAGCACGTTTAAGGTAGGCTAGGCTAGGCTATGATGTTCAGTACTTTAGGTGTATTAAATGCATTTCAACATGATATTTTCAACTTATGATAGGTTTATCAGGATGTAATCACATTGTAAGTTGAGGAAGATCTGTGTCATACATACTATATATGCCATACTATATAGTAAGTATATAGTATATATGGCACATATATTTTCTAGACCTAACTATCTTTCTATCACATTCTTGTTATTGGTGGATTCACTCCTCAGGACATTGTGCCAACCACTTCTCTGTAGAGTACAATTACAATCTGGGATTTCTGTCTGATGGTACTAATTAGTATGTTTTGTCTGACAGTACTAATCAATACTAAGCATTATATTGTAGGATTCACTATTAATCCATAACCTTAATCATAGCACCTAAAAGAAATGTTGGTGTGTAACAAATGTATGATTAAAGGGAGAAAGTCTTTACTACTGGTACAAAATAACATTTAAATAATCTCTATTTATGTAAATTTCTACAACATATTAACAGTGAATCATGAGGGGCCACACCAATGTAAGAACTGCACTCAATGTTATTTGATTACAGCAAACTCATGGAGAAAATCACTCATGCACAAGAAGTTAAAATTATAGAATGTGCAACATCTAAAGCTGTAAGTATAACATTAACAATTTTACAAGATGATGCTGGTCAGACCACTGATGACCAATTTCAAGATGACTGTCAGAGCTGACTGTGCTGTTTCTGCATGTAGCCCCTCCCTCCGTCTGTAACAGCTCCTGCCCACTGATCCTCAGTGGGGGAGGAGTGAGTTGGCCTTTGGACAGGAGTCTGCCCTACCCCCCAGTTGCCGGCATCCAAAACAAAGAAAACTATCCTTTCCACCAAAAAAAAAAAAAAAAAATTTAAAAGTGAATAAATTGCAAATTGTTTTTCTAGGATAATACTATTCCAATTATCATTAAGGAACCCAAAATATGGAGATATTTAAATTCTCTTCATCTCTATTCAAGAAAATGTCCTAAACTTAAATGGCTTTAAATAATAGAAACAGTTTTTATTATGATTTGGAGGTATTTCCAGTTTCTGAAGAATATCCAAGATTGTTTTAAACGTCCCCATTTTATACTCTTTCTACTTTAAGAGTCAACAGCATATTAAAAAGGACTTAGTGACATATAAAGATAATTCTAAAATACAAATGTAACAAGTTTCTGAATTCAATGGCTTAAGCAGCTTTCAAAATGTTAAATATAAACATGGAACTAAGTTTTGAATCTAAAGCAATATTTTTACTGACAGTCTCTTGTACCTTCTAAACATGTAGTAATTCACAGATTACAATTATTTCTTTGTTCTTTCAGGAAGTAAGATCTAAATCGTACTGAAAAAACTCGGGAAAACTGAATCGATACAACGAAGATATTCAGAATTTATTTCTTTACTCTTTATTACACTTTATAATTGGAAGGACACCTGTTTTGAAGACTTATGGAAAGTCTTTCTATATATATACACACACATACATATTCTTTATATATATATTTCCATAAAAGTCATTAAGATCAGAATATGTATTTTTTTCTTCTTTGATGACTGTTACCTTTGATGTTTTCCTTGTGGATACCATTTACATTAGAGAAGCAGCACCACATAATGATTTCAAAGACCATACTTTGAAACCAAACTGCTTTGGTTAAAAGTCCCAAATCTAGCATTACTAGTTGTGTAATCTGTCTAAGTTACTAAACCTTTTGATGCCTCAGTTTCCCCATCTTAACATTGGGATGACAACAGTACCTACTTCAGTGGGTTGTAGTGAAGGATAAATGAGTTAGCATACATAAAGTGCTTAGAATAGTACCTGCTATGCAGTAGGATTAGAACTATGCCTATTAGAAAAATATATTAGAAATAAAATTAAGGTATTTTCATTTAAAAGAATTCCAATGTGTTCTCTAGAATCTGTGCAACTACTACTAAAGCTATTTGGGCTGGAATATACAAACCATGCAGCACTGAACACACACTACGTGTAAGGCCATTGCAAGGTGCTAAGTGTTTTTACACAGATGACTGTAAAACAGTACAACTAGTGGCTTTGGATTTAGACCTTATTTTAGTGCTACAGTGGTAGAACTTAATAGTTATTTGATCTTGAACAAGTTTTTTAATATCTCTAAGCCTTGGCTTCCTCAAGTAGAGAAAATAATACTAATTATCTCAAGGAATACTTAGAAGAATGAAATATGAAAATACATAAAAGTACAATGCTAGAAACATAATGCATATTCAATAATCCTCATAGCAAACCCATCAAATAGAAATTTTTATCTTCATTTCATAAAGAAATAAATTCAAATTCAAATATTTCAAGATATTTCAAGATCATTATTAATAATTTTTAATATTGTAGAGTTTATTAACACACTCTTAGGTTAAACCAAAGAGCAGTTTGAAACACTTCTCCTTCAGTTTCTACGACATAATACATACTCAAATCAATGTTTATTTCATGAGCCAATTAATGTATGGTTGGTTTAATGGATGATGATTATCACTGATAAATATGTTTTTTCATCTTACCTGTCTGAAGAACAGTTTCAGGATCAACTGATGGAAGAAAGTTTAAATCCACAGACCTGGCAAGCACCAAAAGAGTATTTTTTTAAAACTATATGTATTTCTATTTATATAACTTAAAAAAATCCGTTACATATACTTACCAAAACAGGGGCCTACAAATACAAATATCTGAAGCATACTGTCCTACCAGGCGAATTTCTCTTAAGCATCAGGAAACCCATTACAGATAATTAAACACTAGTAGCCAAATAAATATCTATGTGATAAAAAACAAAATATACTACTTGGAAAAATATAATTTATCATTATTAACTACAGTATTATTTCAAGTATATCACAGGAATCCATTTTATTATTTTTCCACTGGATATCTGCTTCAAACTGAAATTTGTCACTATATAATAATCCAGAAACGTTAACATTAAAATCGTGTGCAGGGGCTTCCCTGGTGGCGCAGTGGTTGAGAGTCCGCCTGCCGATGCAGGGGACATGGGTTCGAGCCCTGGTCTGGGAAGATCCCACATGCCACGGAGCAGCTAGGCCCGTGAGCCACAACTACTGAGCCTGCGCGTCTGGAGCCTGTGCTCCGCAACGGGAGAGGCCGCGATAGTGAGAGGCCCGCGCACCGCGATGAAGAGTGGCCCCCACTTGCCACAACTAGAGAAAGCCCTCGCACAGAAACGAAGACCCAACACAGCACAAATAAATAAATAAAAATAAAATTAAAATTAAAAATCTTTAAAAAAAAAAAAAAAAAAAATCGTGTGCAGCCATCCTCCAATCCAAAGTTTACCTATCTACAGCAATCTTGATATTCGTATGTATGTGTACCCTAGCAGATGTACACTCTTTATGTACTAATTATGTTTCATTTGCAGCTGGACTATGGGCTTTATTTTCTTAAACATATATGGAAAGTGGAGAAGATGAAGGAAAGATAGAGTACCTGGCAAATCAAAGCCTAGGGCCTTGCTACTATAACTGACAGGTCTTGCTCTATACCTTTCACTTTTGTCAACTGATCTAGGCCTTCACCTCTTGTATAGCCCAGATGTTTCCTGAGGACTGACATAAAGAAGGTGATGAAAATTTGCAAGAGGGACTTCATTGTGTGGGGTTTAAAAGAGACTAAGCAATAACACTTGAGTTCCTTAGGGAGGGATTGGCAAATACAAGATTTCACTTGACACTTCATGTAGTCACACAAACCATCGTTTCCCAGTGTTTCCCAAAACACTGAATGAGATACTACTGAGTAGAGAAGATGGGGTTCCACTGTCATGTAAGTACAGGAAATTTTAAGAAAGCAATTAAACAGGTTTCTTTACTGCAACACTTTCTCAGAACATGTAATCTGTAAATGTTTACAGTCATTCCCAGAGAAGGAAACATAGCAAACAGCATTAAACTCTATGACCATGAACTCATTTTCTACCAGTACCCTCTTAGGATGTCTTTCCTGGAGAACATGATTTTGAAAAACACCAGACTTACTCTGCTGGACTACTCAGAAAGCAAGAGGTTTGGCAAATTTTTGTCAAGTAACTTGAGTGATATTTTCAATTCTATAGTATATAAGTGTGTGTGTGTGATGTCTATACACACACTCACATATTTACGTATATGTAAAATTGTTATTTACATTTTTATATGGCCTCTATCTATAAGATAGTAATGTTCCTAAATGTTTGTTGTAACTTTAGATTTATATTCAAACCATTTGTTTTCATATTTTTACTTTGTTTTAAACCAAGATTTGGTGTTAAACTATGATCTTCTCACATCCCTCCTATATTATTAGCTCAGTTAACTGGTCTGTGACTAAATTTGGATTCACGGAATAACAATATGCATTCTATCAAGGTTCCATTGTATTTTCAAGGTCAGATTCAAAAGAGATAGACAAGGATGAGTGCTGATCCCTTCAAATTTCCTAATGAAAAATTACTGCCTAGTGACTACTTTGTTACTGAGGATTAATTTGCTTCCTACAGTACTTTTTACCTGGGGAAAGGAAATTGGTCTGAAAACTGTTGAGGTTGAAAAGTTCAATGGAAATCTGTAAAATGATAAATCTAGGTAGTTACAATTAGATCCAGTGTCATAAAATACTAAATTCCCGAAGTTAAACTCTTGAATATCACATATTTTACAAGGATGCAGGAGTTCCACAAGATAGGCATTTAAGTGCCAACATATTTAAATAAGGTTATAATGATTTTATTTCAAGCTGCAACCTTTTCCATATTCTTTACAAGCAAAGTAAAACTCTAAAAAGGCAGGAAATTGTTTCATTCTGAAAACATGTTCTTGCAAAATAATTATTTTACACAGTGTCAGGAAAAGGTAAATATATTATTATTCAACAAAATTAAAAGTCTTCTGTAAAGAAACATGGATTCAAATCAATAAATTTTATATGTAAAGCAAATTCTCAAGTATTAAAAAATAAATTTAATACAAATTGTATAGGCCAAGTTTGATTGAATGGAGGCTTGCTTACCTTAGTTCTCTTGGCTTGCATTAACAACAGAGGTTATCTTTTAACACACTAATTATAGCTTTGCAAAGGTGTAATTGCAGGACACTAGGCACTTACCTTTCTTTCTCTTGCTGATTTCCTTTATCACTTCCATTGTTAATCAAAGCAAGTTCATCTAATAATGATGTAGATTCCTTTGTAAACTTCTCAAAAACCTAAAGTATGAGATTTTATTAACATGTTAAGGATGATCTTAAAAGTTGATATGTACATAAGGATTTTCAACTAAGAGCAACAGAATTAGTCAAGCAGGATTCTGGTTCCCGCTCTGGACCTCACTTAGTACACTTTAATAACCAGACCACACAGCATAGACAATGAAGACAAAATTAAAACAATGAAGACAAAACTGCTTCCTAAAACAATGAATAATTTTAATGGATAAAGAATTTTTTTAATTTAAACACGTTAAGAAATTATTTTTATTCCTGAGACAAGTTTATATTTATTCCTGTTCCCTTGAGAAATATGTGTACCAACAACAGTTTTAACTACATGAACATTATTCAGACCAGTTCTAACCCTCTAATTCCAGTTAAAGAACTTTTCTTTATGTTATTCTATTAATCATTCTGGTTACATGTTAATACTTAAAAAGTTATATATATAAGCATGTAGCATAAAAATAAATTAGTTATAATCTTAACATGATTTCTTAAAATATTTCAAAAAAGGGATTTGGGCAAGTCTGCTTAGAAAAGAATAGACACTCATTGGTTTTATATCATTGTTCAAATATGGTGAAAATAGAATGGTTATCCATTCTCAAATATCCAAAAGTTCATTATTCTTCAAAAAAAATTAGCATATAATCTAATGTGAGAAAATTTTAAGCTTTTTCTTTTAGTCCCAGGCAGTTCAATTAAACAATACTATATTATACAGAGCAGCAAATTTCCAAAGTCTGCCCTGAAAAAGAAGATATATTTTCAGAAATGAAAACCTTAACCTGTCAAACTGCTTTTCAACTCAAATTGGTGTCACATATCCTCTCTGAAAATGGTATATCAAGGGCAGACAGAAGAAACAAGAAGAACTACAATCCTGAAGCCTGTGGAATGAAAACCACATTCACAGAAAGACACACAAAAGGACACACAGATTACTATGTACCAGATGAAGGAACAAGATAAAACCCCAGAAAAACAACTAAATGAAGTGGAGATAGGCAACCTTCCAGAAAAAGAATTCAGAATAATAATAGTGAAGATGCTCTAGGACCTTGGAAAAAGAACAGAGACAAAGATCGAGAAGATGCAAGAAAGGTTTAACAAAGACCTAGAAGAATTAAAGAACAAACAAACAGAGATGCACAACACAATAACTGAAATGAAAAATACACTGGAAGGAATCAATAGCAGAATAACTGACGCAGAAGAACAAATAAGCGACCTGGAAGAGAGAAGAATGGAATTTACTGCCACAGAACAGAATAAAGAAAAAAGAATGAAAAGAAATGAAGACAGCCTAAGAGACCTCTGGGACAAAATTAAATGCACCAACATTCATTCAAATGCATTACAGGGTCCCAGAAGGAGAAGAGACAGAAAGGACCCGAGAAAATATTTAAAGAGATTACAGTCAAAAAATTCCCTAATATGGGGCTTCCCTGGTGGCGCAGTAGTTGAGAGTCCGCCTGCCGATGCAGGGGACACGGGTTCGTGCCCCAGTCCGGGAGGATCCCACATGCCGCCGAGCGGCTGGGCCTGTGACCCATGGCCGCTGAGCCTGCGCGTCCGGAGCCTGTGCTCCGCAATGGGAGAGG